GTCACTGGGCTTTACAAGTACACAGAATATGAATTTGAAATACTGGCATTCACTTCTGTTGGTGATGGACTAAAGAGTTCCATTTTAACTGAAAGAACAAAAGAGGATGGTAAGACATGTAGAATATTTATATTGTTGCCCAAATACTCGGTGAATTTCCTCCCACATGGAGCTTTCTTTCTTTTCATAATATTAATAGAACTGTTGGTTTTAAGAAAACATAGGAGGCTGGTAAGAATTATGATCCTTTGATAATTCTTATTACTGTGAAACCCTGAAAACCCTGGACAGCAAAAACGATTCTTGAATGTTATTCTGCCTGAAAAAATGCTATTCTGCCTGAAAGAATTACTGCAGGCCCAAAAAATTAGTTACCTTCTTCTTGTTGCTAACCTTGAAATGATTATCCAAGGAAGTTATGAAATGACAGAGGAGCAATTTTCATTCACAATATGCAGGTTATCAAGGAAGGGATGATTTAGTGCCAAATCATTTTTAGGCTTGAAGTAAAGTCCTTCGTGCAAGAAATTTAACCATGACAATAGACCTTTTTAATGCCATTGCCATCTTGGATCATCCAGTTCTCCATGATAAATTTATTCTCAATTAGCCGTAGAAACTGCACCTACAGTTGTAGTGAGTGGAAAAGGGCAAGAGCTGGCGTTGTCAAAGTATTTAATCATCTTTCCTTAGAAGTCGAACTCTTCATTGACAATATGTCAACGTATGTCTCAATCATTTGTTCCCTTCTTTTTCATTTTAGACACTTGAAGTAAGAAAAAAAAACTTAGTTATCAGTTCTCTGTCTTGATCCAGTCTTCTTTCTTTTAACCCTTGACCCTTATACAATCATGAACTGTCACAAAACCCCGTCGTTTTTAATGGCTGTTCTTCTGTTATTTGTTATTCAAGTGAAGAAAATGATGGTAAACCTCTTCAAACGTTAGTTTCTTTAAGAGAATTTTTTGACACTCCAATTGATGCTTCCAAGGAATTTTAATTATTCTGAGTGTCATGCGATTTCTGGCAATGAAGTTGTGGTGTTGGTCAGATTGTTACCATAATAGTTTTCAATCTGATACCAATGATTCCAAAATGTAGTTTGGGGTCTTGCAAAATCATATAAAAATGGAACTATTAATATTTGTATCTGGATGTATTGTTCCCCATGTTATGATCAGTATTAGGTGGAAGCTATCCTTACCTGTTAAGCCAAGTAGTTCTTGTCATATAGTTATGTTATGTAGTCTATTTTTTAATATCCAAACAAAATTTTTAGGAAAATGCTACTGCAATTTACTCCTGGTTTGAAGTAGACTGAACTATTTTTAATTTTCTCTCATGTTATTTATATTGGTATCTTAAAACAATTTATGCACAATTTGTATACTGCATAGGCCAAGATGGCTTTGGTTTCCCTTGCCAGTTTACAAAGCACTTCCGTAACTTCCTTCAACAAAATATAAATCCTGGTGAATCATTGCAGAGTCAACAAAAATTTGATTTCGATACAACAAACATTCCAAACATTTACTGGCAGTATTTCAGGTGT